AAAAAAAAAAAAAAAAAAACTCCAATAGTGCAGTAGATACATAAAAACACCAAATATACTGGAACTATGTTTCCACCATGGTTAGTAGATCAAATTTTTGAGGGGAGAAATACCAACTATTAGCTTCTTTTTGATACCGAAAATAGAACAGTACGTGGGCATCATATTTTGTCACCTTGCCATCCAACCAAGTATTAGGATTTAGATGGTGGGAGCTAACAGCCTACCAAAATGTCACCCAGATCCTTCACTATTATAGACCGAACGACATTTTCTACCCATTTAGAACTGAACATCTATACTCTTTCAAACATAATCTAGAGTCACTGGTTAGCTTCCCTACACTGGCTCACAAGCCATGACCAGTTTTACTTTCTAATGCATGCCTCTATATGCTGTTTGCAAGCTATGACAAGCCAGATCACGGGTTGTTATCGAGTAAACTGCAGTGGATACAAACCAATCCATACGTCCCACCAACTGAAAAGGGCCAAATTACAGCCATATAGAATTGTAAGATTTCAAAGTATGAAAATATTATGTGAATCATTGAAACTGTCAACTAATCACGAGTCACGAGGAGCTAAAAGATCCATACATCATTTAAATACCATGTTGTTCATTTACAAGAACTTAAAAGGATGAAATAATAGGTTGTAGAAGATAAAAAGTCAATCTCTAACAAAACTGTCATAAGTTTGAATCATATTTTCATTCTTCCATCTTCTTGTTCTTATTTCTCTCTTTTTGAATTTCCTTCCTTTTTCACTCCACTACTCTTCCTTATTGAAACAGAGTGTGTTTTAGGTGATCAGACAGAACATTTCTCTTCTTCCATTGAAAGAGTAGGAAAAGAGAGAACATACTCTGTCTTGTTCAATTAACTTGCAAAAACAGAACTAATGTTAACCATAGACGATGATAGTTCATAATAAGACTTCTTAATCTGCATATAATCGCTATGAGATCAACTCCTCAAAAAGCCACTGAATAACCCACATAACTAAACTGGCAGAAGTCACTACCAAATTAGTAGCCCTGTGTTAATCACCTTCTTTAGGAAGTTAGAGGTCCTAGGTTCAAACCATGCCACAAGAATGAGGTAGCAAGCAGATGGAGAGGAATTACTTCATGCTTGGTAACCCACCAATAAAGAACTGATTTTGAGTAGAGTTCTATATAGACATATCATAATGACTTTACCACTTAACAGATTACCATAACAAGAGAAAAGGCAGATGCTAACCAAATTTAAACAAGAAAGTACATTCAATAGGTTAACTAGTGTTAGCATATAAATGTAAAATAATACTGTATTAATTAAGCAAGTAATTAGCATTGCAAATTCCAAACTCAATTTATTTTGATAGTTGGAAACATTAAAGGCATTGTGTTGGTACGGCGAACGGCAAGCTCAATAACTAAAACAGAAAGGAAATTGCACACCCCTTTCCATCCCAAAATTCACAGCAAAAAATGCCATGCTTAACGCAAACTCCCTGTATCATGCATTCATGAAAATAAAATGAAAAGGATCTTGTTACCTATTCCATCTTGCAGGCAAAATAAGCATTACATGAAACTTGTTTTACATCTATAGTATATAACAACAAATGGGTGAAATTCCCCAGCATATATATACCCCACATTAGGGAATTTCTGACAGAATCCTCCATTTGTTATTGCAGCAAGCAAAACTAATTGGATTTAACATTATTTTTTTAGGTAAAATCAAATGTATTAGTTTGGAATACAGGTTTAACAATACTGTATTGCTCTTTGAAGTTTGAACCCAACAAAGATAACTTACAAATTTCGGGATATATATA